GCGGAAAGTTCATCCTCATTCTGTGAAATCGCTGTGCACGGAGCATCTGGTCAAGTTCTAGCGGATAACTCACTCTCATTTTATACACTCGCTGTGCACAGTGCATCTAGCCAAGTTCTAGCAGAAAGTTCATCCTCATTCTATGCAATCGCTGCGTGCAGTGCATCTGGTCAAAGCTTTTGCGAAAAATTCATTCTTAATTTTCTGGCTTGGTTGAACGATCGAGCAGCAGTATACAAGGGGCAACAAAAGTGCCAGTGCGTCTCTCCATGTTCAAGCAGAGGGTTCGTCATCCTTTCTACATCGGGTGAGTGACCAAGAGGGGGAGGAACCCGCACTGGACAAAAGAGGGATGGGGGCATGATTGGAGATGAAAGGCAGGGAGCAAATAGGCACGTATACACAAACAGAACTGTGGGAAGAGTGTGAACGAATCTGGCCGCTGCCTTGAGCCAGATTTGTTCAGCCGTTGTTTAGCCTCACGAGACAGATGCGCGATGTCACGGCGGAGAGCTGGTTCAAGCGCATATGAGGTGATCTGACGCGATGGCGGAACGCCATACTCATCATGATTGTATCTGGCCCAAATCGCGAAATGAGACGTTCCCTTGATGGGCTAATGATTGATCACGTTGATTAATGATGGCTGGCCGCCTTGCTTTCACTAAATGCGATACCGGGCCATCTTTATCAAGGTTGTATTTGGAACGAAAACAAGGATATGTACGTTTATGCTGGGAGTGAGTTTTGCCCGTGTCCGAATGTTGATGAGTATTTGACGACAGAAAGCACAACCGAGCGGCAAAAGAAACTGTCAGATTCTGGAACTGCCATTGAYTTTGCTGCGAATTCTGAATATGCCCCTCAACTTGCATCYGCCCCAATATTGCTCCCGGGAGTGTTCACTATTTGTCGGTTTAAGTTAAAACTCGGTGCTACATGGACTTGACTCATCGCTGTGTGACCAAATTGGTTCACTAATTAACTGTTAAAACACACTGTTGTAGGAACTTGCTAACGGTGTGTGACAGCCAACCTCAAACTTGATTCCTGTTGGTCGCTGAGGACCTAGGACGCGGGCGTGGCGAGTGACAGGCGCCGTTGCCCTTGGCTTCAGCGACAAGCGGGCGCCCCTCCCCGGGTTTCCCTCACAACGTGGCCTGGCGGGCGGCCGTTGCGGACCGTTGGCTCGAGTGAGGGCAACAGAGGAGTCCCCAGACGTGCGCACGACGACACACGGAGGCGGCGTGGGCACCAATGGTCTGCTTTTGAATCGTAGGTGCGAACGTTTGTCGTCTTTGCTGTCGGTCGCCGACATATGAAGGTCCAGCGGCCTTGTCCGCGAGCTTGTGAGGAGAAAGTTGAGAAGGATGTCACGTGCAAGGTCGCCTGTCCACGTCGAATTCATGGCAGACATGCAGAGGAGATTTTCTCTGCTGCTTCTCGTTGTGGTCGTCTTCGTCTTGGTCGTTTTCCTCCACGTATGTTTGTCGTGCCAACTGTGGAAGCAACGTCGCAAGCGCAGGGTGTCAACGAAAGGCACTGTGCTTCAAGAGGGACGTCCCATGACGGGCATGCAGGCACGCTTTGTTCTGCCTACAGCTGAGGGGGAAAGAAAACCTGCGACGACAGAGCCTTCACGGCGGTACGACCCGTCCATGTACAACCATCTGCCTTCGTGGGAGACGCCGCTGCCTCCCTCGGACGAGGAGTTGGAGGGGGATTAACTTCCAATGTTTCCTCTCAGCAGCAGGTCGACGCAGCTGTTGTCGCAGACGGTGCTTGCAGGTGGGTCGGCAAGCAACGGACGCGGCGAGTACACGACACTCCTGCAGCAGGGCTTGGGAGACGACGACGACGGGGGAGTTGATCTTCGGTTCAGGTTATGTTCTGGCGGCGGTGGGGAGCCGAGCCGCACGTTCATCATCGGCGCCGATCCTTCACCACGTGGCGTTCAACAATCTGGAAGTCGCCATACAGAGCAGTCCACACTTCGTGGCGGTGCGTCCGTTACTGGCGGTGTCAGGCCATCGGCATCAGGCCGGCAGCATGGATCGAGTGCACCGACAGCCGATCGATTGACAAGCACCTGCCCCGCACGCCATGGAGCCGTAGTCGGGTCCCTCCGCATCGGCGGTACACTTCATTCGACGTTCAAAACCACAACGCCGGCCCAACCCGACCTCAAGGACGACGGCACGTGCAGACCAGCGGTGCGTCCAGCACCCAGTGTGGAGAACATCACACGAGGAGTGTCAAACATGCGGGCACACAACAATGGCGGCGACGACGATGGTGGTGGCGGTGACGATGTCGACGAACGATCCGGGGAGGACATGAAGGCAGGGGACGACGACGACGACATTCCTATTCGGCTTTTGGGGAAGACGGGTGGGAGGGGGAGAGGACGCAGCAGGGGTGCTGTTCATCGTCGATCCGTTGGCCGTGGGGGCAGAGGTGGCGTCAGCGATGACGGCGGGAAGTCTGCGACGTACTGGTCCCCGGAAGAGCAAATGCAACTGGTGAGATGCAAGCGGGAGCAAGAGATGCACCTCGCCGGTCTCGGTCACAATTACGGGCGGATGCGGACCAAGGAGTGGAAGTGGGACGACATTGCCAAGCGCATGGCGAACGCGGGGAGGCCTAAAGACGCGGAGGACTGCATGAAGAAGTGGGAGAACATCTTCCAAAACTACAAGAAGGTACAGAGGTTTTAGAATGCGAGTGCTCGGCCAGATTTCTTCCGGCTTTCGAATGAAGAAAGGAAGGAGCACAACTTCAAGTTCCGGATGGAGAGGGCGCTGTACAACGAGATCCACGCAGGCATGGTGGGCAACCACACAATTTTCCCTCCCAACATCGCCGACACCGGAAGTCCGGACGGGGTGCAGCTGCCCAGGCGAGGAGCGGGTGCTGGGGAGTCTGTTGGTAGTGAGGGCGTTGGTGAAGGCTTCCCTGAAGAACATTCTACTACGAGGGACTCCGACAACAACGCAGCCAGCGAGGCTGGGGGCGGGAATTGAAAAAATGTGCGTCAACAGGCTTTGGAGTCGATTGCTGATGTCATGGACCGCCATGGCGAACTGATGTCGTCGACGATCGAATCGTCTAGCAAGCGGCAATGCAGCATATTCATGAGGCAATGCGACATACTGGAGCAGCAAGTTGCAGTCCAGAAAGCGCACTACGCGGCATCCGATGAGACGCAGAGGATGATGTGCCACCGCTTATGGAGATCGCTGCAGCCATCCGTGGTCGGTCGTCGATGTAGGGCGCATGGTGTGTGTGTGTGTGTGTGTGTGTGTGTGTGTGTGTGTGTGTGTGTGTGTGTGTGTGTGCGTGTGTGTGTGTGTGATACTAAGTGTGAGTTTGTGCGGGTGTCGTCCACACAGTTGTATGGGTAGTGGTTGTGTTTTTTTTTGTTTTTTTTTGTTTTTTTTTTGTCATCATTTCGGTCGGCGGTGCATCATCTGCATTTCATGGCTCGTCAACCAGACAGCCACGTGTGGAATGGTGTTTGATGTTTCAGGATTGTGGAGGAGGGGGTCTGGATTTGGGGGTAGGGTGTGGGGGGTGTTTAGTGGCTCGAGGTGCGGGGGGGGGTTTGGTGGCTGCGAGGGGGAGACGCGATGGGGTGGCGAGGGGTTCGGTCCCTGGCGAGTGAATTGACGCGCCTCGCTAGGGACGTCGAAGGGTGTTTTCGCTCCTTCGGGAGGATCGAAATGACATGCCAGTGTCGGCAAGGCGGTCGCACGTGCCACCGTCCACGATGTCATTTCCCGCCACACAGAAGCGACGTCGCGGGAGGTCCATCTGC